TCCTTAAACTAAACAATTTAGCCCAATTAATAAAAAATGTTTTCCTTGAACATAACATTCTTATACAGGATTATCTATATGAGCTTAATTTGACAACAATTAATCTAAAGCACAGATGAGAACTTTAAGGGGTAGAGAGCCTAATTAATGGTAATGAAATAATAGGCGTAGAAATAGTGAGAATGGTGACACCATGTGAAGTATGTAACCAATGTTATTGAAGTATTCATGCAGACATTGGGAATGGATGCATGTTTGGTTGTGTATATTGCCACCAAAAACAAATAAAATACTGTTGTTGTTAGGTGCCATCGAGTCAGTTCTGACTCGTAGAGACACTATGTACAACAGAACAAAACACTGCAAGGTCCTGTGCCATCCTCACAATCGTTGCTATGTTTGAGCCCATTGTTGTAGCCAATCCATCTCATTGAGGCACTTCTTCTTTTTCACTGACCCTCTACCTTGCCAAGCATGATGTTCTTCTTCAGGGACTGGTCCCTCCTGATAACGTGTCCAAAGTATGTGAGATCAAGTCTCACCATCCTTGCTTCCGATGGGTATTCTGGCGGTACTTCTTCCAAGACGGACTTGTTCATTCTTTTGGCAGTCCGTGGTATATTCAATATTCTTCGTCAACACCATAATTCAAATGAATTAATTCTTCTTCAGTCTTCCTTATTCACTGCCCAGCTTTTGCACTCATATAAGGTGACTGAAAATACCATGGCTTGGGTCAGGTGTACTTTAGTCCTCAAAGTAATATCTTTGCTTTTCAACGCTTTAAAAAGGTCTTTTGCAGCAAATTTGCCCAATGGGATGTGTCATTTGATTTTTCAACTGCTGCTTCCAGGGGTGTTGATTGTGGATTCAAGTAAAATGAGATCCTTGACAACTTCAATTATTTTCCCTGTTTATCATGATGTTGCTTATTAGTCCAGTTGTGAGGATTTTTTTCTTTATGTTGAGGTGTAATCCATACTGAAGGCTGTATAGTCTTTGATCTTTAATAATAAAATATTAAATAATAAATTATAATGATGGAGGAAAAATTCTTGCTACAAACTCAAGTGAAAACATCAAAATGCTAAATGGCTTGTATAGTATAATTATTGCCTCTATACAAAAATATGCATGAAATGGACTAGGACTAAGAAGGAGATTTGCAAAAGTGTTAACCATGGTATTATGAATGGGATTATGCAGGTCTTTTTTTTTTTTAATCAAAATGTTCTCTTAATGTTGGTGGTATATCATGTTTTTAATAGTAAAATTTTAAAATAAAAGATCCTCTTTGTCTTAGTTACCTAGTGAGACTATAACAGAAATACCACAAGTGGGTGGCTTTAACAAACAGAAATTTATTTGCTCACAGTTTAAGAGGCTAGAAATCCGAATTCAGGGTGCTGGCTCCAGGGGAAGGCTTTCTCTGTCTGTCAACTCTGTAAGAAAGTTCTTGTCTCTTTTGAGCTTCTGCTCCTGGTGAACTTCATGTAGCTTGGCATCTCTCTTCCCCCATATCTGCTTCCTTAAACTCCTCCTTTTATGTTTTGTAAGAGATTGACTCAAGACACACCCTACATTAATCCTGTCTCATTAACATAACAAAGACAACCCAATCCCAAATGGGATTATAACCACAGGGATAGAGGTTAGGATTTACAACACATATTTTGGGGGACAAAATTGAATCCACAGCACTCTTTCTCTTCCTAATAATCACTCATCAAGGAGTCTTTAATAAAGCAACTAGTTGTGTTGGGCTTGAGGCCATAAAGTAACACAGACTCCACCCCTTCTCAAAGCCACTTTAGTCCAAGCCTAACCACAAAGACATACCTGTAGACAATGGCAATTTACTTTTTACCCGTTCAGCCTGATCTGGGTCTCCTTCTCCCACATTCCCCACTTCCCTCTCCTTGGCTTTTCTCAGAAGCAAAACTATTAGTTTACACAGCTGATTTCAGCTAAGGGATCACAAGAAAATCATGTGGTTGAAAATTTTCTCCAAAAGGTGTAAATGCTACAAGCCCCTGTGTCATCATTCACAAGAGGAGTCCTTTAGCCCTGTCAAAAGTCTCTAGTTCGTTAATTGTCAAAGTGAAGAATTTGGGTCATTTTTCTGGAAGTGTTTTTCACCAGTAGAATTTGACTTCAACCAACACTCTCCCCCTCCTCCACCCACTAAATCCTACTAAAATGAAAGAGATACCACCTGTTTTCTCATCTGATGCATTTCTGCTTATTATTCCTTTTTTCCTAGTTCAGTTTCCTTGTGGTCAGAGACAAGTAGAACAGTCAGCCTTTGAACTAGGTGGGAGATTGTAATCTGAGAGGCTAAAATCCATTCACTGATGAAAATTCTAATCAATTACTGTGGTTACTGTTAAGTTTTAATAGTATTTGTGGGCCTCAAATTAGCACATTTTTATTATGTATCTGTTAGTAAAAATTGTATTCTATACGGAAGTTAATTTGAAGAACTCAGTTATACACAGTTGGCTCCTAACACACACCTGACTCAGTTACATGGGCTCTTTTCAAAAGTAAATTTGTGTCCAGAGTAAATTGGTAACATTCAAAATTATTCAAGATTGCTTACAGAGTGAGGTTTGTGTCTCCAACCCTTGTGGTATTACATATTTCTCCATTTATGCAATCGATTTGAAATAAATACCAACAGCACAGTGATTTTAAAGATGAAGAAACCAAACTTGAGATACCTCAATTCTATCATTTGTGTGAACCATTTTGAGGTGTTAATTTGTTGAGTTTTTAATTTTAAAATTTAAGACAATGCAACTGCCAGGTGTAATATTTTTGCTTGGTAAGTGTGAATTTTAATTCATACATAAAATGTTTTTCTGAATTTGAATACCTTTAAACTATAATTTATTTTCAATTGTTAATTGTTTTTAAACTAAAGAAAGAAGCAAGAGAGTAATAATTTGTTACTGATGGTTATTACTGAAAATAATTCGGTCCTATAGAGGAGCCATATTTTAAAAATAATCTGCTGAAATGTCATGCTATAGGGTTGCCACTGCTCCAGGAAGCCAGGAAGGTTGATTCCCAGGACCCAGTACAATGCGGAGAAAAGACTGAAGTTGCTGAGGATTTCGTTGTACTTGGATCCACAATCAATACCCATGGAAGCAGGAGTCAAGAAATCAAAAGACGCATTGCCTTGGGCAAATTTTTCTGCAAAAGACCTCTTTAAAGTGTTAAAAGGCAAAGATGTCACCTTGAAGACTAAGGTGCGCCTGACCCAAGCCATGGTATTTTCAACCACTTCATATGCAGGCGAAAGCTGGATGATGAATAAGGAAGACAGAAGAAGAATTGACACCTTTGAATTGTGTTGGTGAAGAATATTGAATATACTATGGACTGCCAAAAGGACAAACAAATCTGTCTTGGAAGAAGTACAACCAGAATGCTCCTTAGAAGCAAGGATGACGAGACTATGTCTCATATACTTTGGACATGTTATCAGGAGGGATCAGTCCCTGGAGAAGGACATCATACTTGGTAAAGTACAGGGTCAGTGAAAAAGAAGAAGACCTTCGATGAGATGGATTGACACAGTGGCAGCAATAATGGGCTCAAGCATAACAAGGATCGTGAGGATGGCGCAGGACCGGCAGTGTTTCCGGTCTGTTGGTTGTACCTAGGGTCGCTATGAGTTAGAACTGAGTTGACGGCACCTAACAACAGAAACAGTACAATGCATGGCACATAGTAGGATTACCAAACATTTGTTGAACGAAATATTATGAATAAAATGTCCCAAAAAATCAAAAAGCATAGGCTTTAGCCTCAGATGGAGATGAGTTCCAATGTGCTCCTTTCAATATTGTCCTTGGGCAATGTCTTTTCTCAGTTTCCACCACCGTAGGGTGCAGATAATAAGAATACATTCCTCAAAGGTGCTGTGAGGACTAGGGATACAATCTAGAACAGGGCCTATGCATAAGAAGTGCTTTGTAGTGTATGAAGTCAAACGAATTTAACCAACTAACATGTATTGAGTTTAGTGCATGCCACCATGACGATCATTTCCTGGGTTGATAGGGAGTGTTGGGGTGAACTATTTATCTTAGAGGAAATCAGGAATGGTGGTCACACAGACCAGCAACCTTAAGATCTGGTAGAGATATAAAGATAGCTGTTGTTGTTAGTTGCCCTCGAGTCAGTCCCCACTCAAGATGACCCCATGTGTTTCAGAGTAGAACTGCTCCACAGGGTCTTCAAGGCTGTGACCTGTCCGAAGCAGATCCCAGGCCTGTCTTCTGAGGCTCCTTCGGGTGGGTTCTGATGGTAGCCAGGCACTTAACTGTTTTGCGCCACTGAGGGACCAACAAAAACCACAAACCCTTTGTGCATGATTCCCAGCTGCTCATAGTGAGGGAAAAGTCAAGCTTGCCTGAGACTTGCCAGCTTTAAACTGGCACCATTTTAGATGCCAGGACCTCCAGTTTCCTCCTCCCCAGTCACCCCTTAAAGAATGTTGGGTGGAGGAACAGATGGGAAAGAGAAGGCTGGAATGAAAGCCTTAGCTGGGACATCCAACGGTCTCAAGAACCGCCTTTCTTTCCCACACTCCTCCGCATCCTCTGTACAACCTGCGCCTCATTTTAATGCCTGGAAAATGTCATCTCACCAACAGGTTTTTGCATCTTCCTGCAATGATTTCTTGTCAATGTTTGATCATTACCCTAGAATTTTGACGAATACAAAGAAAAAACACTTTGGGGATAAAAGATCACAAAATATATTTCTGATCTTTCGTCGTCATTGGTAAAGCATTAACTTAGACCCACAAGCCTATTTTTTACATGTTATGTTTTTTCTTTGAGGCTCTTTAACGCGCGGGGCCACGCGAAATTTTCACTCTCCCCTGAGACCGTGTGTCTGGACCTGAACACCCACTTACCGGAATCCCCGACTCTGCCCGGCGGTTTTCTGAAGCTCAGCAAGAGATGAAGCCTCAATTCCACCGTCCGGAGCCCGCGGAGCCCGCGCCCTGATGCCCAGATCCCCGAGGCGCCCGGCCGCGCTCGCCTGACTGCGGTCTATCCCGGGCGCAGGAAAAAGGCACCTTGGCCAGAGCCACCGGGTTCCAAGCCCCGAGCCTGGAAGGCCGAATCCCACGCTCCGAGCGTCCACACTTCGCAACCCAGGCCACGCGAGGCAATCCCGCGTCAAACTGTTCAACCGAAAAACCGGTATTCCTGGGGGCGCACAGTTCCGGAACGAGCAGAGAGCTCCAAACTCCGTCCCCAGGCGCCGTCTCCCTTCCGCCGCCCCCACTAATGCGGGGGACAGGTTGGACTTAATTTAGAGACGACCTGCCCCCTCCCCTCGGCCCAGGCGTCTGCGGTCTCTGCCCCTGCCCCCTCCGTAGACCCGAAAAAGGCCCGAAGGCGGGCTCGGCTGGCAAAGGTTTACCCTCCATCTTTCTCTGAGCGGGGCACACTCACCCGCACGATGTCATCCGTACCGCCGCAGCCCTCGGAAGGCCAGAGCTCGTCGAGGCGAACAGCGACCCCGCGTTCTGTCTAGCCCTGGCACCGTCCAGGGCCAATTAGCGGGGAGCTGGGAAGGTGGAGGAAGCCGTGAGGGCGCCCGTCCGGTCGTCGCCACCCAGTCCCTATGCCGGCCCACGCCCAGGAGTACTCAAGAAGGTGATCACAGCGATGGTCACGGCCCCTGCTTACCAAGTGCTTAAAGGTAGGGAACGCTAAACGTTTTATGTGCATTGTATCTTTTTTTTTTTTTTTTTGGTCACAACAGCCTCAAGAGGTGACTACGCTTATTGGTCCCACTTATCAGACAGGAAACAGGCAACCAAAGGTCATCTAGTAAGGGGTGGAGCTGGGTGGGACCAAGTCTGGGTTACTGCGACTCAGCCTCCGACCCTGAAATTTCAAGACGCCTCCCTCGTCCCCGAAGCCCGGTCAGACTCCGGCCGCCGCGCTGGTGGTCCGAGTTGACAGTCGGCACTCTAGGCGGAGGGCCAGGGGACCAAGCTGGGGACCGCGGAGATGCAGCCTTTTCCCAAACTTCCGAAAGGAAAATGTCACGGAAAGGCTGGTCAGGGAGCGTCGTCAGGTTCCCCAACCCCGCCTAGGAGCTTGCGGCGTCACCTGCGCTGCCCTGCTCTCTCCTCAGTCGCCTCTCCAAGCTGCCTTGACAAGTCCTTGCACCGCTCTTGGAGCCCGCAGCTTGCCTTTCCCGGCGCAAGGCGCACCCTGCCCAGGGATACAAAGTGACACACACCTTTCCTGATTTTAAAGCTCACAGTATCCTCCACACATCTGTCAGTTTGTTGTAGTGTGGGGGCTTGCGTTTTGCTGTGATGCTGGGAGCTATGCCACTGGTATTCAGATACCAGCAGAGTGACCCATGGTGGACAGGTTTCAGCTGAGCTTCCAGACTAAGACATACTAAGAAGAAGGACCTGGCGGTCTACTTCTGAAAAAAAATTAGCCACTGAAAATCTTATGAATAGCAGGAGAACATTGTCTAATATAGTGATATAGTATGAGCACCTCAGGTCAGAAGGTACTCAAAATATGACTGGGGAAGAGGCACCTCCTCAGAGTAGAGTCCACCTTAATGACATGGATGGAGTCAAGCTTTTGGGACATTCACTTACTGATGTAGCACAACTCAAAATGAGAAGAAATAGCTGCAAGCATCCATTAGTAATAGGAACATGGACTGTACGAAGTATGAATCTAGGAAAATTGGAAATTGTCAAAAGTGAAATGGAATGCATAAACATTGATATCCTATGCATTAATGAGCTGAAATGGACTCGTATTGGCCATTTTTAATCGGAAAATCATATGGTCTACTATGCTGGGAATGACAAATTGAAGAGGAATGACGTTGCATTCATCATCAAAAAGAACATTTCAAGATCTATCCTGAAGTACAGCACTGTCAGTGATAGGGTAATGTCCATACGCCTACAAAGAAGACCAGTTAATACAACTGTTATTCAAATTTATGCACCAACCACTAATGCCAAAGATGAAGAAATTGAAGATTTTTACCAACTTCTGCAGTCTAAAGTTTATCAAACATGCGATCAATATGTATTGATAATTACTGATGATTGGAATGTGAAAGTTGGAAACAAAAAAGGAACAGTAGTTGGAAAACATGGTCTTGGTGATAGAAACGATGCTGAAGATCGCATGATAGAATTTTGCAAGACCAATGACTTCTTCATCGCAAATACCTTTTTTCAACAACATAAATGGCAACTATACACGTGGACCTCACCAGATGGAATACACAGGAATCAAATCGACTACATCTGTGGAAAGAGATGATGGAAAACCTCAATATCATCAATTAGAAAAAGACCAGGGGCTGACTGCAGAACAGACCAATTGCTCATATGGAAGTTCAAGTTGGAGTTGAAGAAAATTAAAACAAGTCCACAAAAGTCAAAGTACGACCTTGCATGTATCCCACCTGAATTTAGAGATCGTCTCAAGAATAATTTGACCCATTGAACACTAATGACTGAAGACCAGACGAGTTGTGGAATGGCATTGAGGATGTCATACATAAAGAAAGCAAGAGGTCATTAAAAAGACAGTAAAGAAAGACCAAAAAGGATGTCATCTCGGGGAACGTCTAGCTCAACTGGCATAGCACAGTTTATAAAGACAATGTTCTACATTCTGTCTTGGTGAGTAGAGTCTGGGGTCTTAAAAGCCTCTGAGCAGCCATCTAAGATATTCCACTGGTCTCATCCCTTTGGGAGCAAGGGAGAATGAAGAGAACAGGATACAAGGAAAAGATTAGTCCAAAGGATTAATAGACCACAGCTACCACGGCCTCCACCAGACTGAGTCCAATACAGCTAGATGGTGCCCAGCTACCACCACTGACTGCTCTGACCAGGATCACAACAGAGGGTTCTTGACAGAGATGGAGAAGGATGTAGAACAAAATTCTAACACACAAAAAAAGACCAGATTTACTGGCCTGACTGAGACTGGAGAAACCCCGAGAGTATGGCCCCCTCACTCCCGAGGTTTACTGTTCAGCCGGGGATTAGACAACCCCATAAAGCAAAATGGGACTAATGAGGCATAGCAGTCCAGGGACAAGGACTAGAAGGCAGAAAGGGACAGGAAAGCTGGTGAGAGGGAAACCAAGGTTGAGTAAGGACAGTGTTGACATGTAGTGAGGTTGTTAACCATTGTCATAGGGCAATATGTGTACTGTTCGATAAGAAAATATTTTGTTCTGTAAACCTTCACCTAAAGTGAGAATAGTAGCACAACAGCAGCACAACTGGAAGAACATAATCGATGTCACTGAATTGTACATGTAGAAATTTTTGAAATGGTGTATCTTTGGCTATGCATATTTTCACCAAAAAAAAAAAAAAGGTCCTCAAGGTCGAGAAGGGAGAGGGTTGACATGTTGTGGGGTTGTTAACCAATGTCATAAAACAATATGTGTACCAACTGTTTAATGAGAATCTATTTGTTCTGTAAACCTTCACCCAAAGTACAATCAAAAAAAAATTTTTTTTTTAGAAGAAGGATTTTGTTCTACATTTTTCTCCAGCTCTATCCAGGATCCTCTATAGTGATCCCTGTCAGAGCAGTCAGTGGTGGTAGCCACGCACCATCTAGCTGTGCTGGACTCAGTCTGGTGGAGGCCGTGGTAGTTGTGGTCTATTAGTTCCTTGAATTAATCTTTCCCTTGTGTCTTAAGTTTTCTTCATTCTCCCTTGCTCCTGAAGGGGTGAGACAAGTGGAGTATCTTAGATGGCTGCTCACAGGCCCCAGACGCTACTCACCAAAATAGAATGTAGAACATTTTCTTTATAAACTACATTATGCCAATTGAGCTAGATATTCCCTGAGACCATGGTCCTCACATTCTTCAGCCCAGTGATTCAGTCTCTGAGGGAAGATTCTTGTCATCAGTCTTCCTCAGTTGAGGAGCTTCTCAGCGCTGGGACTTCATACCACCAAGAAACAAGAGCCAGGAGAATAGCGTGTCCTTTGGACCTGGAGTCCCTGTGCTGAGAAGCTCCTCAACTGGGGAAGATTGATGACAAGGACCTTCCCCCAGAGTCAACAGGGAGAGAAAGATTTCCCCTGGAGCTGGCACCCTGATTTCAGACTTCTAGCCTGTGAGAGAGAATAAATTTCTCTTTGTTAAAGCCATTCACTTGTGTTATTTCTGTCATAGCAGCACTAGATAACCAAAAGAAATCTTCAAATATTCAGTGTCTTACAGATCATATTCCCCAAACCTGATGTAGTACAGTTAGAAAGTTAGAATTACACACACATACACACACACACATATACACACACACCAGTGGCCAGAAACTCCCATTGGTTTGGAAATTGAGCATATACTTTTTTTTTTAAATTTTTTTTATTGTACTTTAGATGAAGGTTTATGGAACAAATAGTTTCTCATTAAACAGTCAGTACACATATTGTTTTATGACATTGGTTAACAACCCCATGACATGTCAACACTGTCCCTTCTCAACCTTG